TAAATGTAACGCAGTGTAAAATATCATATTTATATGTCATGTCTAAAGTAATTTAGAATTGTACATATTTAGTTACTATTTTTGTACTTCCTAATTAAGTAGATACATTCCGTAGTCATTTTCTTTGAGTTAACAATACTTAGCTACTGTAGATAAAACTAGTAGTACAAAAAGCACTTCAATATTTTCATGCATAGTTAAAATGGTTGCATATTTGAACCCTGTAGTCGACTTTGAGCTTCAGTTTTTTGTGCATGCGTTGATGACGCTAAAAAACTACCGGAGGCAAATGAAGCGAACCGAATTTCGAACCTGTGACTCACTGGTTAAGATTCTGCTGTTTTAAATAAATCGTGATTTTATTAGCGTTCACGTAGTTATGGTATTTTTCGAGTTAAAATGTCAACATTTCCATTAATTTACAAACTCCTATTTTAGTTTGATATTCCATCTATGGATTTTTATTGTATGAATCTCTGTGATAGATTGTCAGATGTATGAACTTCAGGTTGAAAGTCGCGTTGCTATACTCTCAGTATTACTATTTAAATCAAGTGTTTTCAGCGCTGTTTATCTCTTTAAAAGTTTAGATGACTTCGTTAGAAAATCTTGTGTAACTTTTTAAGGAAAATTGTGGAAGAAAATGATTTCGTAATTTACTTGTCACATGCATTATGTATACATAAACTAGGAGTTATATAATATTGTGACCTATTAGCCAAATTAGTCAGTGTGTGTAATTTCATTAAATCAACGTATGGGTCATTTTAATGATGTGTTGCTCATTATTTAGTTAGCCTAGAATAAATCATAAGCACATTTTATGTATATCTCGATTATGCAGGATCATGTAAAATAACTGCTTGTGACATGAGTCGGTTTGAAATTTTTCAAAATTCCATAAATTAACTTATCATAATTCAAATGTAAAGTGGTTGTTTTAAAATATATTTTCAACATTTTTTCCGCTTATTTTTTTTCATTTAGCTATAAGACGTAAAGAAAATGGTTGGTATGATGAAGATCATCCACTTGTATTTCTCTTTCTCGGTTCATCCGGTATAGGCAAAACGGAGTTGGCTAAACAAGTAGCAGCATACTTACATAAAGACATTAAAAAGGGCTTTATACGTATTGATATGTCGGAATACCAAGAAAAACATGAAGTATGTATTTTCCAAGTTCTTTGTTAAAATAGCTTACTAGCTCGTGTACCTGATACATATTTATGTACTTAGTTTTAAGTGTGAGGGCAACAGACACTACCTAGGTCCCCAAACAGAAGTAGATGAAGTGGTGTCTCAAAGCCGAAAGGCCTAACCACTGAGGCACGTCTTAACTTCTTAGGTTTTAGTTATATGTACATATACTGAGGCATATGCTACTTATGTCGACAGATATAAGTAGTATGTAGCACAAATTGGAAGTGAAATTCACGACTGCAGAAGATTGTTAAGATTTTTTGAAGAAAACAGAAAGTAATTTTAATAACAACGGGATTGAAAGAGTCATAAAATATGTTAAGGGAGATGTGCAAATTATGTATTTGATCTATGGTTTTCATATTTTACGAAAGCACTCTGTAATTTTGTATTAAATAATAAACTGGTTTTCCCCACCAAGGCTTTCTTCACTACAATACCATTGGTTTCAATATAAAAATTCTTAAGAAATAAGTGAACTACACAAGTAAACCACCAAGCTAGGGTTGTGCTGCAAAATAATCAAGAATATTCCTTCGAAGTATTTCAACGGTTTCGTGTATCGTTACTGTATCTTTATTATTTAAACGCACGGCTTACATAATTGTATAACTAAAATGCAAAATCGAAATGTCATAATTTATAAATCTCAATAAGTTCATGACACGAACATTATCCAGCATACGCATTACGACCTATTTAGGACTTGTCAGCTGAATATATCTTCATCTCAATGTCACTCTGCAAACTGAAACTCGAACTTGGCATCTATCGTTTTAAACGTCAACTTTTGATTCCCTAAGTTAATAGAGTTAAGATAGCCATGAACTCATTCAACAAGTATTATAAAAACTCATTGGAAACATATCAATTTATTCATCAAAGAATAAACGAGCGCTTTTCATAGTCTCCTTTGTTCTCTTCACCCTAGCATCATTTGTGTTTTTTATTTATTTTTAGACACCCCGTTAATTTGACAACATACAAATTGACCGAAATCTATTTCAAATTAATGTAATTGCTCACACCTTATAGTGTTTCTGCATCCCGATACTTTTCCATTTACATAATAATACGTGTAATATGTATCAATAATGATTCCCATATTTGTGTCACTCTGTTGATATCGGCTAATAACTTTATTGAATTAATAGTTAATTAATTAAATATAGATTGCAGTCAATCAATCGATAATATTCTGTCAGCTCTGTGCTGTTCTGTTACATGATGCCCTGAGATTTTGGCAAACTACTCAATACCACCGTCATTTCCTTAAGATTATCGTAGAGATTTAACACCATTTTATTAGCAGCTATATAGACTTTGAGTTTTGTGCATTTCTGATATTCGTCTGTTGAGATGCTGTGGAACTAAAGGGTGACAGAGTATGATTCTGCTATGTTTTGCCGTCCTTTTCGATTAACAGTTCACGTTTTATCACGTTTGGGAAACCAGCTATGAAGAGTAAAAAAATTAATTGTACACAAGAACATTTACTACGGAAGGCCGAATAAATAATACTACTACTAGACTGGCTTATAAACCGATATTTAGCCAGCGACCTTGAGCAGAGGAATAACTCATCAAAATTATGTTACCTACATTTACACTTCACAATTACCTTGTATTCTCTTCTCAACAACACATGATCTGTTTGGTTTCTTGGGATATCATCTCTCAAAAATTCTTATTTTTTGTCTTCATATGTGCGTTAGTGAGTGGGTATATAAGTTGTTTTCCTCTATCTTTTTCAGTCTCTGTATTACATTGTGCATATGATTAGTTTAAAATTTTCCATTATTATTTTATAGGTGTCCAAATTCATCGGATCACCACCGGGTTATGTTGGTCATGAAGAAGGTGGTCAGCTTACACGAGCTTTAGCTGCTTGTCCTAATGCAGTTGTTTTGTTTGATGAAACAGAGAAAGCTCATCCAGATGTTTTGACAGCTTTGTTACAGTTATTTGATGAAGTAGGTCACATTTAATCTATACAATTTTATAATGTATGTTTTATTGATAAACTCAGATTGAAAATATTATACTTATAAGTATTTCGTAAGTTAAATGTTGAACTAATAGACGGAAGTGAAAGTTCGTTAGTAACTAAGTAATCCCTATTATTTTAATTCATCTTTTTCTATATCTAACTTTTTTTGTAGATAAAACTAACAAGTTTTAAATCTTTAATATGAACTCACACACTCATTCAATCGGTTAACAATTTTATTTTTCAAAACTCATCCAGTTAGGATTCGAGGAATTGGTTCTGTGAATACAATTATAATTTAAATCATAATATTTATTCTATTAATTTTATCAACTAATTGATTTATCATAACAGGCTGGTACATTAAACCTTGTAAAGGCTAAATATAAAATTATATTCTAATAATGAAATTTGGAAAAGTATAAATAAATATAACATTTTGTTTGCTCGACGGATTTTTAGAGCCGCTCTAATAGGTGTAGACTACCTTGTAGGAGTGCGTGTAATTATCGTAACCAAAGACTAGAGACCTTAAGTGATATGGCTCGAAATCGTTTGCAGTGGTCCACGTGCATCCTTTCTATGTCTTCCCCCAACTTCTGAGCTTTTGAATCCTTCGTAGCTTTTTTTGTAATGACTTCATCAATTTATATTTTCTTGAATCATATCTTCGATGTCCAGAATCCCCAACCACCACTCATACTGTTACTACTGTACTGAACAAGAACACGGGTGGGGACAGTCGGATGTGTTTAACACAAAGTTACGGAGCATCTCAATAAAATCTGAGAACTTTATATTAAATCGTTAATTTGCAAAATGTCCACCAATTGTCTCAAAATGCCTCAGACTTCATTGTTCTTACATTTTCATACAAATTGCATTCTATTCCTGCTCCTGCTTTCTTGATCTTCCCTCATCTTCTGCTGCCGGACATTACATTTCTGACTCGCATAATATACTACTTAGATCAATATAAGTAGCACGCACCACACTACCTGTACTATTTTGCGATTTGGCCTGAAGACTTCAGCTCTCTGTGTTAATGAGGTATAGCAACTTGGACCGATAAACATACGCACCAGGTTGTACATTGTGACTGACTGACTGATTTTCAAATAGGAAGTCATTCTATCTATATTCTTTGAATTTATTTGGTAAACTACAGCAATTTATCTACATAAGAAATCTATTCCAGAAAACTCGCAGGGATTAGGAGAAAAAATCAAAGGAAATGGGCAGCTGATGACATGACACTATAGTATGAAGAAAAGCTGTGCAAGACTGCCAGCTTTTAATTCATCATAACTCCCTGATTAGGTGATGTGACCCATTGCCTTGAGACGTTGTCAGATATGGCTCAGAATAGAAGCCAGTAACAATGCTGCTTTAGTTTTTTAAACACTTTTCATAGGGGTGCATGGAAGAAGTTTTCTTGATTGCATACTTAACCGTTCTGTATCTCTTTTTGTATATTGTTGTCGTTTATGTATTTCAAGTCATCTCCCTTCAATAACTCTTCATAATTTGGTTTCTTTATTAGTATGGTACATACTTTATTTTGATGCCCAGCTGTTCCAGTATTAATATGTATTAAATAAACCAATAAATAAATCCTCAAAAACTGAAGAAAAAAACTAACGAATGTAGCAAAGGTTTTCATTTAAATTTGTTGTGTCTTATGGACTGCAGATTAGATGCGCAGCGTCTTATCGATCGGATCAATGACACGTAAGAGACGACCTAGAGTCCCGATTGGCCCTGCTTCCCCGTCTAGCCCAACCAGTTGAGTCCAGAACACAAGTCTCAGCCTCTGAGATATGAATCATTGTATTTCAAACATACTCTGTTTATATACCAATCAGACAGACCACATCGTACCATAAAATAGAGAACAACATTTGTACAATATTTAACAATTGAAATTAATATTGACTAATAGGGGATGTCCATTTAAAGTCCAAGGACACCATTAGACTTAACATGATAATTATTGGTATATTTTTCTGCATATCCTAACAAAATTAATTTAGATTCTTAAAATGATGTGGGTAGTTTCTTATTTTAAATATGACAATACCATGACTATGTGCATTTACCACATTATAAAAATTTATTTATTCACAACTTTATTGTTATGTAGCACAGACAATAAATAAATTTCATGTTTCAATTTTATTTACTGTCTATAGTGTCTTTGTCTATGTTTATGTATTTTTGTTTGTCAACATGTAGCAGTATTAATTACGACCAAACGTTTATATTAAACTTTTCGTATACACTTGTCGATATTTATTTATGTGCTGTATTATAGTTATGTTTTTATAAAATAATATTTTTTATCAATATCCAATCAAATCAATAAATAGTTAAACCAGTTTATTTGTATTTGTATTCTATATTAAATGTGAATTTAATTTAGTAGTAAACAATAAGTTTTTTTGTTGATTTGAAGGTAACTGTCTATATCTGAGAATATATTAGAAACCATTTAATTAAAAAGTGAATATCATTGGAATAGTTTACATTGTTCCACCTAATTATTATTCCATAAGCGAAATATTGATTTATCTTCATTGATGATCTCATTATTTTAGTTTTTTATGTTTGAAATCACGGATTCAAAGTCATGTGTAAATGCTAACTAGTGGACGTATATTAGAGAGAAAATAAATGAATTATATATATATATATATATATATATATATATATATATATATATATATATATTCTTCATGCAAAAATAGGCAGGCAACGTACGTGTGTATGCACCTGGAGTATAGTAGTAGTAGTTTCTCCAAATGCAAAGTATTTTTGTTCTCTTAAAGAATATAACCATTTGTTGTTTATATGTACTTTAAATTTTATTGATTATCACGAGTTTGTTTCCACAAGAGATCTATCTATGTATATACAAATGAGAAATCCATTGTTTCAGTCATATGGTTCCGTTACGAAACTTGAACGTTATGTGTATCATATGTTTCCCATTGCAAAATTTGTAATTTTATATACCATAACGTTATTTCATTGATTACATCATCATATAGATTAGCAGTTATCGTGAAATTTGATTATCAAACGTTGATTAAGTAAATCAATATATTTTCCCTTCTGCTGAAAGTACGTAAGTATACTTGGAAACATGTTTGCTGAAAATAGAGCAAAGAAGCCACAAAGAAACAAAACAAACATACTTCACACACTTGAATATCAGGTTGGATTATCATAGCTATAGAAAAATTCCATAAAATACAAAATACCAAATAAATGTAAATATGATACACTAACAGTAGCAAATGAACTGGAGAACAAGTAATAACAGATCATCAATATGAAATAAACCATCCATAGTAATAATGTGTTTGAAGTTTGTGGTGGTAAGACATTAAATAAATATGTTTGGTTTTGTGACAATTTCTACTCCATGTCATGTTAACATACACGATCAAGAAGTTCTGTTGACTTATTAACTTTATGATATCTATATTTAATATCAGCGTACAGTTATTCAATGGCTCCGTCATGTGGGGCGGTAATTTAAGATGTGTATATCAGTAACTCGAAGAAAGATCATTATTATTTAACAGGGATACATAAACACTTAAAGCTCTGTAATTTATTTTTGTTTCTACGATATGAATAAGAAATATAAAGGGAAATTGCTTCTCTAATCATTTTTACCGTTTTACTAGAATTCTAATGTATATCCAGTTAGTCAGTATATAAAGTGAAAAGTGTTAAGATTGGATTAATGATTTGAGGTAAAGAAACTAACTCATTTGAAGCACTTTATGGTCTCTATCAAATAATATTTTAAGAATATACATCCTAAACATATAAACAATTTGTTGAGACTAGGTAAATGAATCGAGATAAATTTGATTATTGCATTATGTATTTGCATACATTTAATATGTAATTTGTAGGCATGTCTTAATTCATTGGGTGATATGGTGGTTGGTTTATGGATTTCATATTTACTCAGTTGTGTTTTACAGTTTGAAGTTCCCTTCACTTTATATGACAGATGTATTTTTAAAAGAATAAACTGGTTATAACTGTTATTTTAGCAGTTCCAGTGTGATAGTTTTCAAATAAAAAAGACCGTTATATTTACTCACACTTATTTGCCAGACATCAAAAGAATGAATAGCACTTGGCAACAACTGTAAAGAAAGTCCATGTTGGAGACTTCCAGTTAGCGATATATGCTCCACGATGGGTAATATGTGTTAATATGTATTATTAGATTAGTGTTACCAAGTAAAAAAAGTAAGTTGTATATAAGTAGTAACCAATCTCAAAAGTGAGGAATGGTAAATATTCTGTTTTATGTAAATATTAATAACTATGTCAAATAAGACATATCGTCAAACTGCATCACGAGGCAAGCCCTAACTTGGAATCCTGAAGGGAAGCGAAAAAGAGGAAGGCCAAAGAACACATTGCGTCGGATAATAGAAGCAAATATGAAGACGATGAATTACAACTGGACGGAGCTAGAAAGGATTGCCCAGGATAGGGTTGGATGGAGAACACTGGTGAGCGGCCTATGCTCCTTCACGAGGAGTAACAGGCGTAAGTAAAGTAAAGTAAGTATGTCAAATAAACTATTTGAGTAGGTAATGGGGTTAATAAACTAAATTCGTTTTCGTAATCATTATATTATTAGCTACTTATTTACTAAACATCCTACTCTTATTAGGGACGGTTAACAGATGGGCGTGGCACTACAATTAACTGTAAAGACGCTATATTCATTATGACATCGAATGTTGGAAGTCAAGTTATAGCTGAACATGCGCAACAACTACGATACGTTTCCGGAAATGAGGGTTTGTTGTTATCGTTACTTTTTGAACTCATTTATTATCACTGTTTAGTTTGTCATTTAATAGTACAACATATAGTCTAACACAAAAGTCCATCGGCCTAAGTTTTCATACTACATATTTACGATGTGATAAAATTAATGAGATTCATTGTAACACGAATGGAAATATTTTTGTAGCAATTTTGTTAAGAAAGACTAGAGATTGACAATATGTTTCGAAAAGACAATGAAAAGGTATGTATGAGTGAATACTGGGATTAAAGATCAAGAGGAACACAAAGAGTGAAAAAAATTGAAACATTATGACCGACTTGTCAAACATCAACCCATTAGGGCTAATGAAACATCCAAGATAATTCAGTTGGTCAATGCATGGAACTATTTCGCTCCTCGTTATTAGTTTAGGGGTTGATGTAGATTAATGCTAAAGCACAATTTTATATATGGGGGAGAGATACACATCTTAAAGATGTATTATTCAAGACAATTAGAAGACTGCTTTCCCAGCATCTTCATCAAAAAGGACTATTTTGTCTGCGTACTCCATGTCGATTAGTGAGTTTCTAGGATGGAGATCAATCCCTGACAGTTGTCTTTCCCTCGTTAAGGATAACCCTACACGGCACCAGACTCCTTAACAATCATTAGATATTCAAGTCACAGCGTTCATGTCGATCCATATTTCCAAACTCTAGTTAATTCGTGATATAGGACGGTTGGTATTTAACTACATCTTGGTTGGTTTCACAGGTCACGGCTTCTGACTTAGTCTTTTTAGCATCCGTCTTGGTGCTAATTACGAATGGAGACAATTGTTATTTACTCAGGTTATTTTCGAGTTGTCAGTTCATCGTATAAAGCCTTAACAGGTTGTTGTGTTCATAAGATCTCGGTATCCTATACCAAATGTTTGTCTCGATTTTTCTTACCTGTGACACAGACGAGACGGTTGACTACGTATCAAAAATCATGTAAGCTCAATTTTATCATTCTGCTACTTCACGAGTGCGAAACTTCGGATGTTGTAGATGGCATTTATAGGTTGACAATATACGACAAGAAATGTTTATGTAGCATTATTTTCACATTTCGAATCCAATGTTTATTTTCCTATCTAAATTTACTTCAGAAGCTGACATTGAAATATCTCGAGACTTTAAAGAAAAAGTTATGCGTCCGATATTAAGGGTAAGTAGAGTAGGTAGGTCAGTAACAATGATGACTAATAGACTGTTATCCATTATTTTAGTCTTCTTTTTCATTTATTTTGTGTCAACCATAAGCTTATTTAGATATTGTTATATAAAACAATGCCTTAAAATCTCATCGCATCTTATGGATATATCATTGAGTTCAAATGTAGGACTGGCACATTTGAATTGGGTTCCAGTAAATAGTCCCCTTAAGTATTATGATTCAGAATTGATCAGTGATAGATTTGCATTCACTTTTTTGTTTTACTGTAAGTCGTAAACTTATATTTCCTTTATTCTTTTTGAGCAAAACGTTTTGCACTCAGATTTCCATTGTTGATATGAGCTGTCACAACCAGTACAGCTTTATTCCAGGTCCTGTATTGCTTATAGACAGTTTCATCATAGCTCTTCGATTAAGTGGGACTGACTGAATCAATGATTGTGTTATTCACCGATGCCAGTTTTGTTGTTTTCTTACTTCTGAATTCCTAATTCCGATCTCTTTTTTGAAAGCTTATATGCGGTTTGCCCGAGTAGTAATAATCGTATCCGCTCACCAGTGATTACGATCCAGGTGCATTTTCAGAAGTCCTGGTGCAAGGCTATTAAATTGTATAGTAAATTAAGTATAAGCTAAGACAGACACCAACGTTGGTAAAATCAAATACTAGCCCTAAATTGACTGAATTCGTGAAGCCTCGACAATATCTTACTTGTTGCAAGATTTAAAGGTTGATAGTTAGCTTTTCTACGTGAGGTCTTGGATACATTGTGATAAGACATTAGATGTGACGATATATATATATACAATGATCCTTCAACCGATGTCATTTTCTTATTACAAAGGAGGTAGATCAGACCATTTTTGAGTTTTATTGCTTCGTTAACACTTCCTTTACTGACTATCTAGCCGTTATTGATTCAATGGAACTTTGAGGAAGATATTTTATATCCTTTTTTTAATTTCGTCATGTTATTTGATTCGAGATATCAATTTATTATTTTTTGTTGGAAAATATTTTAATTTCAAAAGCAAATGGATGTTCACTTACTACACATTATCATATCTCAGATAGTGATCGATTCACACAACTATTCATTGAGTTTTGGACATAAATAGTAGTGAACAAGCAACTAGATTTTATAGTTTAAAAATTCACCTTAATTTACTGTCGCGTAAATTGTTTATCACAGCATAATGCAACGAGTCAATTACGATTCTTCATGTATTAACTGATATCGAAATCTGATTGATAGTAATGTACCACCGTAGGCCAACCGTTTAAACCATCAACTTTGTAACCTAAATTTTCCTATACTTCAATTAGTACGTCCGTAATTCAAGTATTTTGCAACCGTTAACATTAGTTACATTTTTATATATTTCTAATTATCATGGGTTCACTTGTAATAATCCTAATAATTTGCTATCTAATTTTTTCTATAAATATTACAGAGACATTTTCTTCGTGATGAATTTCTTGGTCGTATTAATGAAATGGTTTACTTTTTACCATTCTCAACATCTGAACTTACCGAACTAGTGAATCGTAGTTTAAAAAGTTGGAGTGAGAAGGTCAGTTTTTCTTCTGCCATTTGGTTTTAAAAGAATTTAATTCCTGTGAAACAAGAACTAAGTATATATGAAACAACGTCGAAAAATTAATAGAATGAATGATGTTTTTAGCTGAAAAGAATCTGATACTAGATAATTATAATTTCACCAATCTTAAATGTGAAAAATTGACTATTTCGCCTTAAGGGATAAGGCTTTAGAATAACACAGATAGTTGGAATCAATTATTCATGGTTGGCCTGTGTGTGTTAACCAATTAATGACTGATATTTGTTTAAAGATTTATTAAGTTAAAGAATTTTCCAGACTGATTTCCTTAATAAGTCTCTTTAAAATGATTTGTTAGAGGTCACAAGTAAATATGCTTGAAATTCGCAATTGATGTCGGTGATACATTTTTATGGAAAAGTTAACATTTAGTACAACTTTGAATTCTTCAGAAAGATTTAGCCTACTGTCTATAAGTTTAGATGTATAAAAATGAGAGTTTAAGAAATAAGTTACGAAAAGTAATGGAGGATGTATGAATTTATTATTATATCAGTTGTATTGTGGCAATCACAACATTTCACTTATGCTAGTTTCACTATATATCTGATTTTCATATATGTGAAATAATAGATGTTTTTAGGTCAAGTTAGGGGATGTTGTAGTTTTAGTGATTTCATTTTTTAGGTGAACTCATGTGTGCTACGGCATAAGTTAACTTTAAGAAACTATGTGTAAATCCTATTTACGCCTAGTATCTTGTTGAATTTTTTCACTATGGTCTGTTACACAACTTGCTTGCTAGATTTTATATATGCCTAATTTTATAAACTATCAGTTTTTTATGTAAAATTTGATATATAACCTAGAGTAATTTTTGTTGTAGGCATTGAAAAGGCATTCTCTCACAGTAACATGGAATCGTGAAGTAGTAGATCTTATTGTTGATGGATATGATGTGTATTATGGAGCAAGATCAATTAATTACGAGGTAAGACTGGCAGATTTCATCGCGTTTTTATAGATCATACTACTAAGGATTCTAAATCAATCCTCCATGACTTTTAGATGAGTAGAAGTGTTTGTTTTAGTAATTCCATCGACTTAACCGACCTTGATACAGATTAAAGTAACTACTTTATTAAATAATTTTACATTGTGGAAACTGTAGTCAATTGTCGTTTTTGATCGATGAATGTAGGTGTGGCCATTGACTTACTACTATCCTATACCAGCTAACCGGAGAGTGAAACGTTTTCCTTATTGTAAAATTTTTCTGCAATACATTAGTTGTTAATTTCAAGACAATAACTTCAAATGAGGAGATAAAAACGCCTTCGTTTTTCTGGGAACTACTATATTGTGCAGATAGTCAGATTTGCAATTTCGCTAATAGAAGAATAATGAATACCTTTTTTTCTCATATAATCATTGCTAGACTATTATTACGAATGATATAATTAAACAACAATGTAATAACTTAATGGTTAAGACATTCTAACCTCAACCACCAAGTCGCAGTTTTAAACCCCATTCTGTCTACTTTAGTTTGAGCAACCAGGTAATATTAACTAGCCTTTAAATTTATACTATGACTGAAAGCCCCAAACACTTGATAAGTAAATATTCGTTAACATCAGGGCGAAACTATAAATCACATTTTTGTCTTTACATATTGAATGATACTTTACATTGGATTTATGTTTGATCAATTTTTTAGATTGAACGTAGGATAATAAGCCTTCTCGCTTTAGCTGATGAACAAGGACATCTAAATCCTGGCAGTCGTGTCAATATCAGTGTTAGTCATAAAAGCGTTAAAGACGAAGCTTGGTCATCGAAAAAATCAAATGAAAACTTGGATCCAACAATATCTTCCCCACCGCGTATAGTACTTAATGTTACAGATGCAAAAGGCAAAATGAATAAAGTTCTTGATTTGACACAGACCACTATTTCGTGGGCATGAGTTTATATATATATATATATATATATATATATATAATTTTTCACTTTTAAACTCTCAGATCTAACAATCGTTTGTTTCATATATTTTCGATCTTAACTGGGCAAATCTTGAGATTCTCGTCTTTTACACATACTCTCTCTCTCTCTCTCTCTCTCTCTCTCTCTCTATATATATATATATATATATATATATATATACTATTTTAGGAAACCAATTTTTCGTGCACCATAATGATACTGACTGCCTACTCACACGAAGTTTTTCGGCATACTACTTCAGGTTCTCTTGAAGAGATTTTCTAAAGCTTGTCAGTATATCCAGTGTATATTGTACACAAATGTTTCATTTTAGTATATACAAGATAATTTATGAAAATACGCGGATTCATTTTTTTGGACATGTGATAATAAATTTTCAGCAATAGGCGCCTCGTATAGTGGATATTTACTTGTCTTTCGTACGTGCTGTGAAACATTGCTTCCTGTTTTTTTTAAAAGAGATAACTGCTTCTGGCCTTGAATAACGCATATAGTTGTAGTCTTTTTCGACAGGATCACTTACTTTGCTCTTTTGATGTTGGATGTACGGTTGTATGCTTTAAAAACAAGGAGATATAAGTTTTTTGATCTGTAGTGCATGGTCTGACATGAAAATATGAATTAAGGGCTGGAATAATTACTTAACTGGTTACTTTTTAATAGTATAAGAAAATCGATATTATTAGGCTACTGAGGGTAAATATACTATTTTCCCTCTTAATCTACGTTATACCATTGTAATGCCAATATATCTACCACTCATTATTTTAGTGTAAGTCCTCTTAATAAGTTTTCATACAGTTTGCTCCGCATCTCATTAGTATCAGTACGTATTTTTAAATAAATCTTAAACTTAAGTGAGATATTAGTTACTTCTCTTAAAACTGAGTATATCATAGAGTACGAGTAAGTTTGGGAGTGTGCTTTAATCATAAAGGTGACCAAACTATGCGGGATGCAGGAATGCTAATCGAATATAAGGTAAGTTGATGCAACAAAAACAATCCTCAATGTTCCAAATATAATTGCTTATTCAAGATATCAACTAATTAAAGTACCAGGTTGCAAGAGAAGAGCCTATGGAGTGCAGCTTTTTCGCGTGCGTTAGTAAGACTAAATACTGCCTCTAAAACTTAACAACATAACATGATAACAATTTTCCAAACTTATAATTTTTTTCAAAATTAGTCATCTTGTATAAATCTTTTACATACTGATTAACAATCTGTCAATAGTTCCAAGGAGCAATCTGACATCTGTTTTGCAAGTAACTAACACTTCTAAGATTAAGGCAGTGATACGCTTATATATCAGTCTGATAGATGTCGTAGTCATGTCTATCTGTACCTCAAAAAAAATAATCACCGGGTTGGTTTTAAGAATGCTGTAAGCAGTGTACGTTAGTCCTTTCATTCCATAAATCTTCGCAGTGAAGCCAAAGAAAAATTGGAAATGCACCTATAGCTGGAAGGCTCAAAGTTATGCATCCTTATGTTAACTGGTCTCAGAAGGATATCTGTTGACACATTTTAGATTCATATGAAATTAAATGTATTGCTACATCCATAGGGAACGATATTCCTGCTTACTAAATATTCTACATTCCCCCTACATCTGATAATAAGATTTTTGAACCAGTTTTCGACAAGTCTCTAAAGACTTTTAGGAAAGATCAATAAGACTTATGGCCATGTTTCGGCTTAAAACTATTGGGTCAACGAAACGCTTTACCTGTAGATAGATGTCCAGCAACAACGAAGTTTCTCAACGTCTCACACTCTTTCTAGTATTAAGTTCACAATTCATTCATAACTTTAGCAAACATTGACTTCTATTTTTTTACAAGAGATAAACTTCTATGATTGTTGATCAACAACAAAATCATTTACAAGGAGCATTAGACAGTCAAGAACAATAAATACGGGTCTCATTACAAAAATACAGCAAACCATTTATAGTTCCTCAAATTAACATCAGTAGGAAGTGAAGTAGATAAAGCATAAAGAATATTTTGCACATTCAGAACTCACTGTACAAACATTGTGGACTTTCAGATTATCGGAGATCATCAGAAGAATGTTCAACAGTATCGTCAAATATTACATGTTGACTTTGTTCATATAATGGAAGATCTGTGGCATGTGGATGGAAACCCGTCTTTTTGCATTTTGACAGGAATGAAATGCCGTGATCAGGAGTTAATGAAAAACATTTAATATCATCGAATTTAGGAGCGCATACAATTGCAATCGCTTCAGGAAGCATAGTCTGATAAGAAAGCTGACAGTGTAGATCAACAGCCGATAAGAATGCAGTTTGAGTAGGATGTGTATGAATCCAACCCAATGTGATCAGCTGCCTCCTGTCTAAGTACTCAAATATTTCCTCTTCTTTATATGTAACACAAGAGTCTGGAGTACCGCTTTGCTTTGGAATTAGAAGGTTTGTAATATAGAAATTGCCACTAATTAATCTCCCACACAGGGTCCCACAAGTTTCTCGATTTCCTTTAGTATTTTTACTAGCTAGGTTCAAAAAGTCACTAATCAGATGTCTGGATAAATATGTTTTCGTCAAACCATAATTTCCTGTGTAGTTACTGTACAAAGATTTTGGGAGCTCATCGAGAGTATAGTTGAAGGCTTTATTAAAAGCAGGATATAACGTTCCGTTGACTGAAGATAAGTTAGACAAAGAGAGTCTATAAGAGTTGGGATCAACTGGATAGTCATCATACGGCTTTGAACTATGATCAAGAAAAGGTACCACTGGCCCATTAGTATTCACTTTCCATTCAGTTATACTAAGTGACTTTTTATACAGCTCATATTCCTCTGTGTACTTCTTTTTCAAATCATCCTTTAAGAACTCAGCAGATTTTGGAAGTAATTTACCAAGACTTTTGAGTTCGTTTTGAACACGTGGATCCAGTCTCTGGTAACCATTATGATTAGGTAACTCTCGGATACACAAAACAGCTCTTATGGACAATATGTACGCTCTTTCTTTTTGGCCTGCTTCTGAGAACTGGACAGATAAGCGAAACATCGACCGGATAAACCGTGCATAGTGGGAAATGTCTATATTTTGAATGATAGTGAAATCTTCGGCAGACTTAAGAAGAGCATCCAGACGTTCTTGGGGAGTTTGGTTCATTTCTGGAGGAAAGCTGTATAACTTATGATATTACATGGAGGAACTGGACCTAGAAGACATAAATGAATTGCATCAGTCAACTTCTTAGCTAGAAATAGATGTAAGTAAATAGTTGGTTTGGTTATGAAAAGATTTAAATACCAAAATCGCACAAATGTTAACACCAACGAATTCACAGTTGTAAATAGTAGGCTATGCATCGCATTGAGTTTGTGGGATGGGTTCTTCTTTTACAACAGGGAACAGCATGGACTTCTTATGGTTCCTCTACGTTATGCTTATGTCACACTTTCGCTAAGAAGCCTATGAAAGAAAAACTACTCTCCAATCAGCACAAAAACTGAAAATAAGTGGGGAAAATATTGTTCCATATCAGTGATTAAATATAGGTTCACGTAACCGGTATTGATTAGTATATTTCTGTACGATTTAGCGATATTTCCTATCTATCTACAAGTACGTTGGTGAAAACGCAGGTTTCCCACCACCTGACGAGATCAAGTTTTTAGTTACGAGGTTAACGATAAATGAAAATCATTGTCTTTAAAAATTCTCAGTAGTCGAGGAAAATAGTGATGATTCTGTAAAAACAGAATGTAATAACATTTGAAATAATCAGAAAACTTTAAAGTTATGTTTTGTCATTTATGGAAACTACTGCATATACTAGTTAAGTATAATCTTAAAGCTTTCAACAATCGCTTGATGTCATTTAGACCATGAATGAGTCACAGATAATTGAACACATCAACTTACGGTCTCTTTTTTAAATCTTACATTGCTGAAAATACAAGGATTGCATAAACTTATGGAAAGCACTTACATTTAATATACGGCTGATTTGTGTCTTGTAAATAAAATTCATAGGTACAGCAGAATACAGAAGTTGGACTCAGGTTTTTCATTTAGTCACTTCAGCATTTTTACTTAATTCTGAGAAACCATCATAACACAAGAGGACCTAGTAAGAAATTTGTGGGAATAGAATAACTGAAGTATGAAATACAAATGTAAACTTGAAATTACAAACATAAAGCTTGATAGAAAGAAGTCAATCAATATTTGATACACTTTCAATGTTGGAATGTCGCTAAGGACACCATAGACTGCAAAAGTGACCTATCCAAATAGACACAATCGCATCTTACAAAAATCTAATGTCTTACAAGTATTTCGATCCTAATGTAAATCTCGATAGATATTTAAGAAAGAGGCTAATTGATCCAAATATGTGATAATGTGTTGTTCCTCGTACCATAAAACTGCTCACATTTCATGTTTCTTGCTGCAGTATATGATAAGCTTTTTTAATTCTTATTTTTCCTTGCAAATGCAAAGACCTCACCATTTTTGAAAAACTAATCCACTTTAGCCGGAATAATTTGCTCGGGTTTTACTTGACAGAAAGAAAAATTCAGAAAAATAATATCACTTAATCTATGATCACTGCTGAATTTGTTTTCAAATAGATTCATATCAAGAGACTTTGTAGACTAATTGGTTAGTACTGGACATATATGCTTAATAATAGGCGGCACCGAAGAACACATCTAATTTTACAGTGACGGTTTAGCCGAACGTTCACATAAGCCAACTTTCATATTTGCAACTTTAACAACAAACCAAAATAAATCAAGGTATTCATGGTTACATGAAATTAGGATCAGAACTACAGATGTTAGTCAACTGATTATAGACATCGTAGGAATTAGCACACATATGCATGTTCTAATTTTCTCATCATATCTACACAGTGGGATAAGGTGATACAGTGACAGAACAAAGCCTCATATAATCCAAACTCATAAATTGTGTTGTAGAAACAAACTTGCTACTGAAACGCTTATTCTGTTGTAACGATGGTATTTTTCAACTGTGGGAGTTTATGTGGATTCATTGGATATGCGAAGTTACATTTATACATCCCTTTCAATTGTGATATACCAAGGATTAAAGTTCCATGATTAGTAGTTAATGTTACCCAGAGCAATTTTACTAACCAACATAAGCCGTAAAAAATGTCCGCATAGGTCTTAGCATCAGGCTAAAGGACGAAGCTACGCCAAAACAAGGTACATGGCGATTTAACAATTAGATCGTTATGCTCTGCTTCCGATAACACCCTAAAGCGGCTTTCGCTCGGAAAACCTTAGATGCTTTTCCTTGTGCCAGTAAACGATGGAATATTCGGTGTGCGAATACTCCCGCAATATTAGATTTCAAGTTTTTAAATATTTCAGCACAATAAATTTGAGGATGATTAGCCCAAGCAACAAATAAAAAGAAAATAAGGGTGAACAAAGTAGACGAAGGCGTTAATAAAGAAGAACTGTCGCTTTTTCGGCTTCGCGTCGGTTATTTAGGGGAAATTTCGATTTTTCCCCCTAAGCCATGTATTTGGGAGAAATTTGTCGACAATTATAAGTAACGTACTGTGTTTGAATATATGTACTAGTACACACATACAATCAGAAAAACATTCAACAGTAGTGAAGTTTTTAAAACAGTAAGAGCAAAACAAACGGGTGGATTGAACAGATTTAGTTGCCAAGTCCATTACGTAGATGATGTCAGTTTGTGATGAAAACGAGCCTTTTAAATACAGTGGGTCGTTTTTATGCCTACCAAGTTATGGACACGTCAAATGATATTTTAAAATTTATTGTCAGTCAAGAAAACAAGTGTTTTACACGAGGCTCTGTCTAAAAGGGGATTGTGCGGCAGAATTCACACTAAAAACTGAAACAAGTATACGACCTTAAAGTACCGTCTACTTGAGAACTTCCCGCTCTGTGGCATTACCTTCAGGAATAATTTCAATAAGTATAGCGAACTTAGAACAATTAGCTTTTTGGTGTTTCTAATCCTCATCAAGAACCGAAATAATGTTTTTTTTTCAACCCGAGATTATATTAATATCTTCACAGACATATAAGATCCTAGTTCTTGATTACTTCACGTTGCTATTACTTACTTACTTACTCCTGTTACTCCTAATGGAGCATAGGCCGCTGACCAGCATTCTCCAACCCACTTTGTCCTGGGCCTTCCTTTCTAATTCCATCCAATTCTTGTTCATTTTTCGCATGTCTATCTTCATTTCCCGGCGTAATGTGTTCTTTGGTCTTCCTCTTCTCTTTTGGAGTTGAGGATTACATGTGAGGGCTTGCCTTGTGACACAGTTGGGTGCTTTCCTCAATGTGTGTCCTATACACTTCCAGTGCTTATTCCTGATTACTTTCTTCGCTGGGATCTGGTTTTTTCTCTCCAATAGTAGGTTGTTGCTGATAGTGTCTGGTCAAGGGACCCGAATTATTTTGCATGGAGAACTATTAATAAACGCTTGTATTTTCTGGATGATGGCTTTCGTAGTTCTCCAGGTTTCTGCCCCATACAGTAGAACTGTCTTGACATTTGTATTGAATATTCTGACCCTGGTGTTGGTTGACAGACAGTTGTTTTGAGTTCCAGATGTTCTTCAGTTGTAAATATGCTGGTACCGTGTTCATCAATGATGCTGCCCAAATACGTAAAGGTTTTCACATCTTCCGAATCTTCTCCGTCAATTGTGATTGGATTGGTGCATTCTGTGTTGTATCGGGGAATCCTGCTTTTCCCTTTGTGTATATTGAGACCTACTGCTGCTGAGGCTGCTGCTACACTGGTCGTCTTCTCCTGTATTTGTTGTTGCGTGTGCGATAGAAGAGCCAGATCATCTGCGAAGTCTAGATCGTCCAACTGCATCCTAGATGTCCATTGTATCCCGTGATTCCCTTCAGACGTTGACGTCTTCATGATCCATCAACCACCAGGAGAAAGGGTGAGAGTAAACAACCTCGTCTAACACCAGTCTTTACTTCGAACGAGTCTGTGACCTATCCTCCATTCACGATTTTGCAGTTTAGTTCATCATAAGAATTCCGTATGGTATTGACTATCTTCTTAGGTACGCCGTAGTGTCAAAGATGCTTCCATAGTGTTGTCCTGTCCACGCTATAAAATACATTTTCGTAGTCATTGAAGTTGATGTAGAGTGATGAATTTCATTCGATTGATTGTTCCATCATTACCCGTAGAGGTGCGATTTGGTCTGTACACTATCTATCCTTACAGAATCCTTCTGCTTTGCCACTCTTGATTTGTCTAAAGGCCATGCTGATTTCTTCAATTGTTGGTGGGCGAACCTCGATTGGGAGGTTCGTGTGTGCTACTTCGATGTTGGGTGGGTTCACTGGGGCTGGTCTATTCAAGAGCTCTTTGAAGTGTTCCACCCACCTGTTTCATTGTTCTTCAATGTTGGTGATTCCCTTGCCTTCCTTGCTTTTCACTGGTCGTTCTGGTTTACGGTGATTTCCAGAGAGTTTCCTTGTTGTTGTTGTTTCATGTTTCCTTCTCTTGCAGCCTTTTCCGCCGTCGTTGCTAAATCTTCCACATATTTACGTTTGTCAGTTCTGATGCTCCTCTTCACTTGTTTGTTTATTTCCGTGTATTCAGCTTGTGCCTTGGCTTTTTCTGCTCTTGTTCGGCTGGTATTGATTGCTGTTTTCTTGTTCCTCTTTTCTTGAATCTTATCCAGTGTATCAACAGTGATCCATTCCTTGTGATGGTGCTTCTTCTGTCCCAGAACCTCATGACATGTTGAGGTGATTGCCTTTTTTATCCCCTTCCGGTTGCTCTCCACAGTAGTGCCTTCTCCATTGAGTAGATCATGAAAGGCCTGGAACTTGTTGCTGAGGTCGATCTTGAATTTGTTGAGTATGTTAGTATCCTGGAGAAAGGCCGTATTGAACTTTTGTGATACTGTCTGCCCCGTTGTCCAGTGCTTCTTGAGTTTCAATTTCATCTTGGCGACCAGTAAGTGATGATCTGATGCTATATCAACTCCTCTCTTGGTTCTCACGTCCTCTATAGTCCTCCTGAACGTTTTATTGATGCAAATATGGTCGATTTGGTTTTGTGTAGAGTGATCCGGTGAAGTCCATGTGGTTTTGTGTATGCGTTTATGTGGGAATACGGTGCCGCCTATGACCAGTTTATTGAAGGCACATAGGTTTGCAAACCTCTCACCATTTTCGTTCCTTCGTCCCAGTCCGTGTCGTCCCATGATGTCTTCATATCCAGTGTTGTCCATTCCAACCTTGGAATTTAAATCTCCCATCACAATGGTTAGGTCCTTTGTTGGGCACTTCTCGATCATTAACTGCAGCCTATTGTAGAATTGATCTTTAGCGTCTTCATTGTAGTCATTGGTAGGCGCATAGCATTGGATGACTTTCATTGGAATGCCCTCTTTCTTTCTTTTGAAGGAGGCTTTGATGATCTTTGGTCCATGAGATTCCCATCTTATAAGTGCATTTTGCGCTTGTTTGGACAGCATCAATGCAACTGCTTGTGTATGTGGTGCATTTTCTTCTTCATGGCCGGAGTATAACAGGAGGTCTCCTGAAGTTAATCGTTGTTGTCCAACTTGTGTCCAATGTGTTTCACTGATCCCGAGTACCTCTAGGTTGTATCTTCTCATTTCTGCAGCAATCTGGAAGGCTCTCCCAGTGTCCCACATTGTAAGAGTATTCAATGTCCCTGAATAAGTGGCTGCTCTGGTTGTGAGAAGGAGCATCGGCCTCGTGACTTTTGAAGGAACTCGGCTTTCATCATGAAGCGTCATAACTCTTCTAAATGAAGACCTTCTGACAGTTCCATGCCAAGCTTATCTAAACAAACTTATAACATCTATTGCTTTAATTTCTCTATTGGGCTTCTGTTACCAAAAATGTGACGTGTGAAATAATTAGCTCTCGTCAGAAATTCGAATGATATGAGCATTTCGGTCATCTGAATTATTCGTTGCTAAAAACTGAAGCTTGTTTTTGGGGTGAAAAATTCTCTAAGGTAATCAGTTTTGCAAGCATTCTACAATAATTATGACAGTATGAGTATTGCTGGACACAACAGAAATATCCCTCATTAGTGACACTTAAGCTAAATACCGGACATATTTCCTCCTATAATTAACTACAATAGAAGACACTCAGCACATTACCTCGTAATAGCTTTTATCTTCTTTCCTTGGTCGACTTTAAGATCATTTTGGTTAAAGTGACTGGGAAACAAAGTTTTTAATCTTCTTCGTGACTCATACGTAATTATTTCTGGGTTATGAGTGACTTAACACACAAGCTTATCTGACGATCAATATTTCCCCGAACTTGCAACATATGCTATTAAGGTCCGATTACATAAAATCGACCAGTACTGAGGCTCGTTTCGTCAAGGATATACCTTATATTTTCTGAAAGAAAACTGCAGGTCTCTGTAATGCTCTCGTCCATGTTCTAAATCATAGGAATATCTGCGGATAGTTCCGAAAACTACATGTGCGAAGGATTTTCTCTTTGATCAGGCGAAAAAGAAAGCTCCGAATAGTTTTATTACTGAAGCACATGAGTAGAATCATCAGAAAACTGTTGGAAAATTTACAGCTTCTTCACGTTAAATCTTTCGCCCCTACATTTGACTTAGAAAACTATCTTGATAGATCATGTCAGTGATAACGGCAAATATGTTAGTTCTACATATTGAACTTAAACATAACTTCTCTTCATCGTTTGTTTCGTTAATGGATGTATATAAAGACGGACATAATCCCTGTTGCTTTGTAGAATTATGGTCTAAGTTCGTTATTAGTGCTGTTATTATAAACGGCCTAATACTAAAATTGTGGATTTGTCATTATATGACTGCCTAATCCATAAAACGTAGAAGTCACATAATTATCTGCCTACATGAAAAGGTTCATTAATGTGGATATTGACCTTCCAACCGAAGATATATTCTTTCATTCAAATAAGAATGTACAGGGTGATCACCTGTAGCCATGTCTACCATAATAATTTTGATATGAACTATATGACGTCAGCAGTAGGAGTTCTAAGAGAAACTTGGGAGAAATTCTAAAAAAACAATTATCATTGTTCACCATAAAAATCATCAATGATTCGAACAATTCTGAACTCGAGAATTTTGAAAACCCAGAAATAATTAACCATATATTTCCAGAAGCGTTGAAAAGAATTAGATGTATTCCATTTGGCATTATATGCATTATATACGTGACAGTTCACAACTAATATCTGTCAAAAATACTCTAGTATAAAAGTGCAGAATTTCACTATCATGATATGCAGAACAAAGATTACTGCTTGTAGTGGTATTGGATTCTAACAACAAAATCTTTGAAGCTGAGCGTATAACTACTAAAATAACTTACCTTCAACATCTAACACTTGAAGGAGGCCAACGACAGAGGATGCAGGAACAATTGTTAGTCATAGCATGGCTCAGCTCTGCAGGCGTGGTTGTTTTTTGTGTAACCCATAAATGCCTACATTATATATTATTATATATATGTAATTCTTCGTAAGTGCTAAACGTTATGTTGCTGATTGTCACGATATGACGAGTCGGTGTAGAGAACGATGGGACTTCCGTCTAAGATCTTATGGATAAGGTAGTCACATCAATACGAATCTATCATTTGAAATTAGGTCTACTATTAAAGTAGCACCATTACCGAACCAGACTCCAGTTCCACATCGGTGAGGTAGAGTTCAGAAGTATAGCCTGTTGTTAATACACCTATTCACTTCAACTTCAATCACTAGTTGTTACTTGTGGTGGTCGGTATTCGATATATCCCTTAAACGTCGTATACAATTCGTCTTGATAACTGTCCTATTTAACCCCAATGGTATATTATTCAGAAGGCGAATACGAAGCGTTGATTACGTTT